GCATCACAGAGCATCATCAATATACATTTTCATAATTAACATTACATTTATTATAGTATATGTATTTATTTTTAAGAACTTTAAAATAGAATAAGTAAAATGTATTTAAAGCATAAAACAACTTATATAAGAAGTAAAATGCTAACTGAATTTTCTATTATACAATAATCGACGTTTATGGAAATTTTTTCCACGTGCAGCGGCACCTGACCAGTTTGCCAATCATCCGAGCACTGCGGTTTCCTCTTCGCAGTTGCCGTCAACATTTTTCACCGGAAAATTGCGTTTAAAACTTGTAAAACTAGCAATTTACGCACTCTTTAACTTGCGACATTCTAAAATGGCCGTTGTTTACTTGAGGCCTACGTGACGCCTTTCGATTTCAATGAACGCAGGAGATCCAGAGATTGATTTCTGTAGACGAAGAACCGCAGTCATTGACACGCACAAAACCGAGTTGAAGGAACTGCCAGTGAACTGACCGCAAATTCAACCCAGCTCCCGTTTGAATTAATCAAGTGAACAATTCGGGTTTATTGTTATTATGTCCGTGACCCGATTTGCGCATCCGCCACAAGTCGTGCAAAGAAGCCGCCGCACTCGAAAATAAACTCCGAGCGGAGGAAAAACTAACTTACCCAACTTGCAAATGACACAACATTTCACTTAGCTGCGGAACATGACAAACGAAGCAGCTGCTCAGAGGCGAAAACGAGGATGAGGTCCTTTAATGAGCTTTTGTTTGAGCGGAGCAGGAAAAACACCCGAGATGGTTACACCAAATGAGCAGCAGCCTCTGGCGCTGCATTTGGGTTTTTTTAAGCCCGGGAGTACAGTCAAGGCGAAAATTTGTTCAAGGATGGAGAACCTATTTCACGGTCAGTGATGGCAAAAAAAATTAGGAAATATAGCTATAAAACTCATGGGGAGTAATCTAATAAGTATAAAAATTACTAAAATGAGTTTGAATACTTTTCTAAAAGCATATAAACAAATAAACATGCATTAGATTTTGCTAACTAATATTAATATGAATTTATTAACATTTATTTATTCAATTCAATTATTCAATTAATAAAAAATATTGATATTTTTTTCTATCCTTTTATTTCAGCTATTAAATAGCCAACTGAGTTAGCCCACTAAGTGTATTAGCCGAGACTCTTTTTGGTCTGTTTCCTCTTCACTCAAAGTTTCTGCCTTAGTGGCCACGGACTCCAGACAATTTGTTGACACAACGCGGACACTAAGGCGAAGGACTCACGCCCAGCTGCAGGCCACGCCCTCCTCGGATTGTAGGCGCCACTTCCGCTTCCGGTGGCATCTTGTGGTCTCGGGCATAAATTAGTTTCCTCCGCTCATATAATAAATTCAAATTCTCAGCCGCATTAGAGCAAATTTGGGGAACGCGGGTCAGCACGTTGCTTCCATCAACGGGGATATTTACTGTCGGCTTTCGCTTCCTTATTCCTTATGTTGTTTATACATTTTTCCATTGTCCCCGTCGAGTTTATATTTGCCTTCTTTGTTGGCCTCTGAGCATTTTTAATTCCGAAAAGCGTGGTAACTCATTCCTGCGGCTTTGGCTGCTTGTGACAACTCAGTAGCTGTGTTATTTTACATTTAAGATTTTCCATAATTTTATGTGGCACCACGCCTTCGTTTTCCGGGGTTTTTCCGTACTTTTCCCATGTTTGGATTAGCCAGCAAGTGGAAAGTGTCCTTGTGGCCGTAAACGCCAACGCGTCGAATAAAATGTAAATCGAAATCGCCGCGACTTATTGCTGGCTGTTATTGTAAATTATTTTGGCTTCGCCTGTCGGATATGGATATTGTCAGGGGGCGGCGGTTCTATTTTATACCGCTTTTTGTTTACAGCCGGGTATTCTGTCCTTTTTTTTGGGACATGAGGGATTTGAAAAGCAGAGGGGCTGCCGCTGTCCGAAAAGTGCTGAAATACCAGGGAAAATGTAATGCTGCAAAGTGAAAAGTTATTCACCCCTTCTCCTATCTGCGCTCCTGGGATTTATTGACTTTCATTGCCAATTCCTGTTTGAGAACGAGGCGAGACATTGGCTGACACATTTTCCTCGGATACTGTAGGAAAATGTTTGGCATTCAGCTGACGTTTTGTTTATAAACAACAATGCACTTCTCCGCCTTCTCTGCGAAATAACGACTTGTTTAAAACAACATTATATAAATGGGCATATATATTCACATCGCATTAAAAATAATTATTGATCGTAGATATACTGCACCTTTTATTGGACTTATCACTTGTAAGTACTGATGAATATAATAAAATGCAACTTTTTGAAAAGGGGCAAAGTGCATTCCTCAAATTTCACGATGAAAATTTTTCACATAAAAATTTTAATTTGGAAGCACCATCCGAATTGCTAAACAAATAAACATATTTTGAAACTAAACAAGGAAACAGCTACAAAAATGAAAATATATTTCACAACCCAAATGATAACCGCTTTAATTTGATTCTTAAATTCCCTTTAATTTGTAGTAACCCCTTTCTCTTATTTTCAGTTCGTTGGCTCGCGTGCGCTTTACTTTCAACAATACCTTTATTTCATGTTGCGTTTTGTTTTATTATTTATGGCTGGAAAAATTTTTGAAATCTGCAGCGATATATTGCGTTATTTAATTGAAAAACACGCTAGACGGTAGGAGTTTTATGGGTGCGTACATTTTTTGAATTTGTAGATAGCAATAAAAAGAAAAAGTATTTTATGAAAATTCCTGTAGTTTTAATTGGTAACCCTAAAGTGTTAGTCAGTGAATCGTGAAACTAAGAATATTAGAAATTTCACCTCACTAAGCTAGCTTTTTAACAAGTGATTTATATAACCTAATTCAATTAGAGGGCGCCAATTTAATCGCCATGTTAATAATTCACGGAGATTTAGTGTTTCCGTAGCAGCTTTCCAAGAAAATCACCATTTTCTCGCTGATTTGCATTTGACCTAGCTTTTTACTAATTATGCAGTTCGTTGCAGTTTCCGCCCACTTCCTGCAGCTGAGAAAACTTTGCGTCTTTTCTAGGTATTTGGAACACTACCCAAAATAAAACGAAAAGTTCACTCATTTTTATACAATTTTTTTAGTTCGAAATCCGGAGGCGTCGTCGCTGATGCGGAAATACTAATGAGAAAAGTCTGCCAGATAGTTCGAGCCCAAAAATTCTTGATTAATATTGCTGGGTTCACAATAATATCCTACTAAATCAACATGATTTCTACATGAAAGTTTTAAAAATATTTCTCATATTATTTTTCTGAAAATGTTCAAGTATGTAGAGTAACAAAAAGTTTACCAAGGCAATAATGTGTACTATTTTCTTCAAGATACATATATCTTGATGTGCCTGCATCGTCATCAGCATCATTTAGGCTGATTACTCGCGTTTTTGGGTCCTAATTGTCGGAGGCGTACAGGGTAACCTCCACCAGCATTATAAATTCAATTTGGCCAAAATCAACAACAGTGCAAGGCGAAGGAGGACAAAAAGAAAGGGACTGCCTGTGGGGCAACAGACAGCGTCTTAAAGGATTAAACAAGTAAAAGCAAAAGTGATTGTCATGCGCCTGGAACATGGCAGGCGACACTTTCGCTACTCTCTCCACTTTCTTCGCTGGTTTTCCCCCTCCCACTTGGACACTTTCCTCGGGCTTATTTGCATAAAGGGAACCGGCCATAAATTCAACCTACAGACGGTTAGGACGCGTCTGAGCCGCCACTAAAATCTACGGGTGTTTGCCTGACAAATGGCCAGCTATTTGGGGCTAGGTAAAAGCCCAGGATCGAGCCTACAGATTGGCAGCTGTTCTTGGGTTTAGTTTAACCAGAAAAGAGATTCCTTAGCCACTCTTAATTTAGGTGGCAGTAATGTTGGGATATACAGTACTTCAACTACGCTTGGTTTGTTTATTATTCCACTCTGCGCCATTAATTACTCCTTGCAATTTTCTCTTAAATATTTATCTAATTTAATTTTCGTAAGGTTACCGCCCTACTATTAATTCATCTCACTGACTTTGTTCATAATTTTTCTCACTTTTACATGACATAAGGCTATTTAAAGGCTTCATAAATTAGGCTTTGTCTAATTTTTGAGCAGATTTCTCTTTTTAAGCTAACGCTGTGATTTATATGCAAATACCAGACAAATAAATAATCAAGTTTTATAAATTTATCATATACTAAGGTCAATATGTGTTTTACCAAATACACCATATCCCGTTAATCTAACAATATTCTGTTGAATTTAATGATTTATTACTTAAAAGGAGACATATAAATAATCAACTTTTCAGGATAACACTCGCCACGTGTGCCTTGGCATGAATCGCCACCTAGCCCCAGCCTTTCATGCACTAGTCATGCATTAAAGTTCTTTTTCAACATCTGAACTACCCGCACCTTCACATTCAAACGATGATTTATAAGTTACTAGTACCTGGCAGTATTACGCATACGCCACGTGGGTTATAGTGCATAAATTAGCTGAAGCCATTACCATTACTACCAGAGCTCCCGAGACCCGTATCCTTCCGTTTTTATTTTGTTTCCTTCGCGGCCACAAAAACGCCATCTGTTGTCACAATTTGGCCTGACCTTAACCTCGCCTTAAGGAAAAAAACAGGGAAAGCGAAAGGAAAACTCCGAAATGGAAGCAAAAGAAAACGCTATCAAAACATAAACAAAAACGGGAGCCATCAGCTGATGTCTGCAAAACACAGCTGTTTGAGGTGAGCGCTTGCGCAGCACAAAAACGCCTAAGAGAGCCACTTCCGGTTTAAGAGAGTCGCTTTGCAGGCCGCCATTGCATTTGCGTAGGAGGCCTGACTTTGCGGTTGTGTTTGCCTATGGAACGCGCGGTTACGATCCACAGGAAGCAGTTGGCAACGCAGCAGTTACTGGCAGTTAGCCGTCCGAAACCTCCGATTCCGGCGCCTTCATTCGCGCACAGTCCTAATCGACTCTCGGTGGCGTTCGCATCGTCGTCGCTCGGTCCCTCCAGATAAAGAACTTACCGCCTGCCGATCCGAACCGTTCTGAACCATTCGAACTGAACGCTGACCGCGAATTTGTTGACTTTCCGTGCAGTCGTGCCAGTTGCGTTTTGCGTTCCGTGCGCTGCGGCTGCGTTTCCAGCTGAATTCAAGTTATTTATTTTAAAATCGGTACTAAAATAATACAAAATAATTTTGTGAATTAATCTACAACGGTGTTTTGCGCTTAAAAAAAAAACAAAGTGACTTCTTTTTCCAACATTTTCGAAACAAAACAACAAACAATAAAAAAAGAAGTATTATAAAAAAAATATTATTAATTTTATAACATTTTAATTTTTGCACAATACTTTTCTCTTTTCCTTTATTTAAGAACGTTTTTACTATACTGATTTGTCGTAAAATTCTTAAACTACTATTAACAGACAAATAATTGCCAAACTTAACTAAGCCCATATATGTAACTTTTGAAATAAACAACCAAACATCAAAATGTAATTGCAACCAGGATCGTGCACCTCAACACCTAGAGATTTATCCCGTGATAATGCATTAACTACAGGCAAATATTGCGAAACAGCTGTTGAATAATTTGCATAAATCAACGTTGGAGTAACACTTTCGGCTCTAGTTCTGCAGTAAGTGTCAACCCGTTGAATTATTTGTGCGACAATAAATTACCCAACCTATGTGCGCCCTGCTATAAATATCGCAGTCTACGGGGAACTCTCGAGTGCTTTTCATTGGTAAATAATTAAATGGGAAATTGGGATTGCTTGTTCGCAAGAGTAAAGCCTGATCGAAGGGCTCTCATAAATTTTTTGAGAAATTTAAAGCTACTTAGAGGAGATTTCTACTCGACTTAAGAGCTCCTCGACATGAGAGTAATTGAACGCTTATCGTACAATTGCAGTTAAGTTGGAGCGCGTTTTCTGCAGATTTTCAGGGAATTTATCCGGCTTAATGCCAGTCTAGTCAATTGGGCACCGAGATTGCTTCCTTGCTTCCTTTTTTGTCAATTTTTCAGCGGAGAAATTAATGGAGTGTTGAAGCGATTCTCCGCTTAACACTTGCCCCTCGAGTGGAAGTTCAGATTTTCGACAAAAGCGGCTGCCAAGGGCTCACATTCTCCCACGCAGCACTCGTACGAACCCTTCAAGGATTTCCTGAGGCCATCCCTTTGCCAGTCCATTGTCCCCGCCGTCAAGTCCAAGTGAGTTCTCTATCACAGCAAGATAAAGAAGGCCACAGAGCCGCAAAAAGTGACTTTGTCCTGGTCCTGAAACAATGCAAACAATCACGAAATGGCACTAGGCAAATACAAGAGCTGACCGCTTGCACGTGACATCGGCAAAATAAAAGAAAAATCGAAGACGAGAGAAACAAAAGGTGGCAGAAATAGAAAAAAGCTTTTGCAAACAAACTTCAATAAACAAATGGTTTTCCTTTGTTTTAGTTGCAAATTGTGTTTTAAGAGAGAATTCTTTCTTAAAAATATGAAATACAATCTCCTGTTAAATATTTACATTGAATTGCGCTTGCTAAAATGTTTTTAAGACCCTAAAAGGAAAAAGTAGCGCACCAAATGAATGCCTCCGGTTTTTTTAGATTTAATTCCATGTTTCTTAATAGCCATTACACAAAACAATAAATAAGAGCCCAAGGTAACGCCAAAACGGTTAAAAAAAACAGTGAGCAATAAATTGCCAATTTATTTTTTTTTGTGACCCCCTAAACATTGTCGAAAGCCAAAACAAACTCTTCCGCAAAGTAAACAATACACGAATTTTCTACAATATATTTACCTAGCTTAAAATGCTGGCAAAAAATTGGCTTGTTTATGAAAGCACAGAGTTTCTCCCCAAGCCTTCCCAAAACTAATCAAAAACGAAAAACAAAGTCATCTGTCAATTTGGTGAAACAACAAATAAATAAAATTTAATTAAAGGTTCGTCATGGCACTCAATATGTTGAATTTTGTGGATGACTTTGACGGGGAATTTCAACAAAGTTTGGGTTTGCTTTCACTTCCTGCGCCGTAATGGGATAAGATTTTAATCAAAAATCAGTTGAAACTTTCGCAACTCGGTGGAAACTGCCTCGTCAAACTCGCTAAGACAGTTTGCTGCTTTTCCTCCGTAATTTCCTCTATAAATTATAAATTATATTCAGTTCACCAGCGCTGTTTCACCCCAGAGAGAAAATCGTCTGATTTGCATAACGCGGCGTATGCGTAATAATGATCCAAATCAAGTCTGACGATTTGCCTTATTGACTCTATATTACTTTATTTGCGCAGTCAAATTTTGTAGAGATTTTCCTCAGCTTTTCCTATTGAATTTCATTTATTCTCTCGTGTGTGCTGTGTGTGTGTGTGTGTGTAGGTGTTGTGTTGTTTTCGCCTTTGTTTTATGCACGCACAAATATTTCCTTTTCGGCTTTCATTTTTTTTGCGTGTTTGAGTTCGTAATTTTAGTTGATTTGTGATAAGGGGGCTGCTGATTCCGATTGTTTTCCCATCCCCAAAATCCATTTTTTCTTTTTTTTTCTTGGGTTGACCTGCCTTGACATCGATGTGGGTTGTGGGGCTTTGTTTGTGGGCGCCTAGTTGAGGCTATGCTTATTTTTTATGCTTGTTCGCCGAGATTGGAGGGGTGGTATTCCCATTATGGTGGTTATGGGCTGCGCCTGGCATCAGATCTGTATGAAAATGATATGCCAAAAATACAAAAACAAATCTCCCTCACGTAATGTCAATTACGTTAAAATTACTTTCATTCTTGCCGACGGGCGAAACCGTTTAAGATGGCTTAGGAAATTGAAACATTACATTCGAAGCATGCTGTTCTTAAGCATTCGATAAATCAGAAAATTTTTAAGTATCCTTAAAGCTATGTCGGACTTAACAAGACAAACAAATAAAAGTAGTACTTCCATTAAAAAATACACCATAGCAACATCAAAAAACTTGAACTGCAACGGTTGCTTTCCACCCACGAAATTTTCTCGAACCTCGTTCATTCCACAGCCAAAAAAACGTACTCGTAGAAAAGTTGACTCCTGTTTCGGACTTTTCAACCGACAATTTATTAACAACACCAAAAAAGAGTAGAAAGTTTCCGCCAGACAACAAAAAATGTGACAAAAATGTTGGTGGTGAGCACTTGAGGCGGTTTACAACATCAGCACTCGACTGAGCACAAACAGAAAGCGAAAAACTCGCGATTTAAGTTGGCATCATAAATTCAAAAAAGCCAACAAAAAATAACCAAAGGACGACTCCTGCATAATTTATGAGCGCTCAAGTAGAGCGGAGCTGCAAAGCAACACGACAAAATGCAAACAAATTTCGCGAAAAAAGAAAAACTGCCTAAAAAGATGAGAAACTGTGATTATGATTCGCAACATTTTGCCAGGCCCCGCCCTTCAACGCAATAAGCTCCCATAATTGTTAAATGCTGGGCAAAAGAGTTTGAGACGTGACAGGTTTACAATTTGGATTCGGTGGCTTGGCTCAGATAATCGAGGATAATCTTTAATTTACAAAATATTTAAAAATGCTTTAAATTTATCATACTAAAGTTAAATGAAAGAACAGTTTCGAATACACTTTAAATCAAGTAACTCTTTCAAATGTAAAGGTGTCGTAGCTTTAAGAATCCCTCACGATCTTGAAGAGGACAGAAAATTAAGAAAGAGGACACCTTAATGAAGCTGCGTCATCAGGATCCGCAACATTTGGCAACAGCAAATGGCCATTAAAGGGCGGGAATGTGTCCGATGAATTTAACAGTATGCCGAAATGATTTCGACCTGGCCTCATCACAGTTTCATGAGAGTCCGGCCAGAAGGTCCCGGCGAGGAGTCCTAAGTGCTGCCATTAGTCGCCGTTGCTGCTGATTATAGGATATCCCGGCACCAGGACACCGTCGAGAGTCGCCGTAATAGTTGCCTTTATGACAGACTGAATCCTGGCACTCGGCCAGCGCCAAAGGGTTTGCTCTCCTCGCCGTCCACGAATCCGCAGCTGGAGGCGCAAATAACAGCCTTTGGACAGCATAAATGTCACCACCACCGCACGTAGAATGGGTCTCCGGAATCCATTCGAATTACATTTCAATGTAGGGTCATTCCGGCGCCTCCTACGTTCTTTCTTGCCGGGCACGTAATAGACAGCATTCTAAACTGCAAACGCCTCCCTCATTTATTTATTGCCGAGCAATTGCAGCAATCAAATCGAAATGGGACTTAGCTGTGCAGAGAACGAAAAGTCAGGAACACAAATTTTCGGCTTAAGATAGCTAAGCTTTCTTTTAAATTTGTTGAATTTATTGTTGGCTTTATTTAAACTTGACAGTAATAAAGGAAGTATAGATGGTTTTTGGGGTATTAGTTCCATTATCGATGCTATTCGAGCTCTTGAAAGTCTCAATCCCGCTGGTTATCACGGAAAATTCTTAAACACTTTAAGGTCGAAGGGTTCTTAAATCCCCAATATTTTCCTTCTCTGATTGTTGTTTTCCCCGAAGAGGGCGGAAAGTTCTGCGGACAAAGGGCTGGCTTCGTCGGCTTGTGTGCGTGCGCCATTTGGCTTCGTGTCAGCCAAGTCAGGCAAACAAATCATGGCTAGAACCCCGATCCGAGGGGTTCGTGGGGTTGGGAGGTGGGTGAGTGCCACAATAGCGCGAAAACGCATCGCTAACTGCCAGACACTTTGGCATAATTGGGTCACAAACTAGTCCAAGGATCCGCATCGGATCCATCGATGACGGCTGATGACCTTTCGAGTGCGTGCTCCGTTCCTATAAAGTGCAATCGCTTGCCGACGCATAATTAACGATATGTTGTGTGCACAATATTCGCATGTCAAAGGAATTCAAAGCGCGCCTATCGCAACGGAAAAAGTTGATTAAACATGCGATTGAACATGGATTAAGTTCTGTTCCTTTAATGAGGATTTCGCTATCATTATGAAAATTTACCTACCGTTTAACTCATTTTCCTAACAGAATAACTAAGGGAAAACCCAAGTTTCATAACCTTGTAACGAATACAACTTCTATTGACATTGATTGTACTTATGGATTCGCTTTTAATCACGAATCGCTTTGACCTTGTCTTAATTACACCGCCCCTATTACAATAATCTGCTTTAATGATTGTTTTACCAATTCTACAAACAAACTTGGAGTTGGCTCAAAGTTAATTGGCCTCTCCACTCTTCCGAACTATTTTCCGTTGGCGATACGCATTTTAATGGCCTACCGCTCGCTATAATTAGCAAGCGAAATGAATCAATTTATGCGAGCTCTCACTTTTATGTGGCTACAATTTCGTATTTTGGCTACGGTAAATATTTACTTGTTTTTGTTTTGCCAAGATTGTCACGTTTATCGGCAGTAGTAAAATTGCGATTAGTATTAATACAGAGTAATGCAATGTTTACTTTGTGGACTGAACGATGGGGCATACACACGTTCGAGTATATAATATATAGGGTGTCGAGTAATATACGTAAGGAACCCGAATAAATTACACAATCTTAGCCCCCAGCTGAGTGACAATTTTCTCGGACAAATTCCCCCCAACTACAGGGAAAGTGGCAGGCAAATTTCTCAGCTCTGTAAACAAATCTCCT